GGGGTCATAGGGAGGGGCGGAGTCATAGGGAGGGGCGGGGTCATAGGGAGGGGCGGAGTCATAGGGAGGGGCGGGGTCAGGCTCTAGCCACAGTTCACCATGTCTCCCTAAAAAAGTACATGGAGCAAAGGTCAGGCTGCAGGTGTGTGTTACTCACCCAGAGAGGGTCTCCCTCAAGGGGGCCCATCATGGCCATGAAGAGCGGCTGCTGGAGAAGGGCGAAGAGGGCACTGATCAGAGACTGCATCCCAGTCAGGCTGCCGAACTGGGAGGAAGGGTACCTGTGTGTGGCCAAAGCAGAACCATGAGCACACTGACACGATGGGAGTGAATAAGTACGTCACTCAGAGCATCACTGATAACAGCAGCCAGGGCACGTACACTGCAGCGTACAGCCCCCCCACGGCCGAGTGGATGAACCCTCTGACCACAGTGTGCAGGACAAACGACACGATCTGGAAGAGAAACACAGATAAACAACCAATCAACCTGCAGCCCTTTGTTTCATCTGCAGGCCCCGTAATGAATCCATTCTGACCGTCCAGAAAAATATATTGCAGAGCACAGATATGACAGCTAGAGGGCAGCGGCACACCTTAGTGGTTTAGGAGCATCATCACAATGCAGGCCGCTGGCCAGTAGTGCTGCAGCCAGGAAGCACAGCGCTGGGGGGGGGGGGGGGGGGGAAACCCCCCCCCCGGGGGGGGGGGGGGGGGGGGGGGGGGGGGGCACAGTACTCACCTGCAGGGGCAGGTTGGGGATCAGGCAGGTGACCCCAAAACCCACAAGCAGCAGGTTGGTGAAGATAAATGCACGTGTGGCGTTGGTGATCTTCTGGATCTGCCGGTCACGGCGCGGGGGACTTCCTGGTTCCCTGGGTGGGGGGAGGGTCACACACAGAGGGGTCAGCTACAGGCATGTGTGACAGGGCCGGCAGGGACACGGCGGGGGCCGAGCGGCCGGTGGCACACTCACCGGCTGGACTTCGTGTGGTCCTCACACTCTTTCAGCTTCCAGTCCATGACGTAGCCGATGACGGGGGCCGTCAGCAGGCAGAGGAGCTGCAGCACGCCGAAGATGGAGGAGTACAGGCTCACTGAGAGACGGGGAGAGACAGAGAGGGCCGTCACTCAGGTCACAGGCATCTGCGTCAGAGAAGGGCCTGGGCCTCAAGGGCCTGGGCCTCAAGGGCGGGGGCCTCAAGGGCCTGGGCCTCAAGGGCGGGGGCCTCAAGGGCCTGGGCCTCAAGGGCGGGGGCCTCAAGGGCGGGGGCCGTGCTCCCAGGGACACTCGTCCGCCTACCGAACCTCCATCAGCTACAGATTATTTTTGAGAACCTGCAAACTTAAGGTTGCAGTTCCCCAAAATATCACCAGGGGGCAACAGAAAACCAGCACTGAGCAGTTGGTGCATGCACTAGAGCGAGCGGAGGAGCACAGGACGGAAATGTTTAATAAACACAGCGGTAATGCTGGTGGAGGCTGTAATGGGAGGGGTTAAATGAGAGTCCAGGAAGTGGCAATAATCTAAGCAGTGATCTCCTTACCAATTTCCATCCTCCCTCCTAAAAAGATGTGAGAAGCCAGAGTGAGAGAGAAGGGAGAGAGAGCAACAGCTGTCAGAGAGAGGACATGGCCGCAGGCTGTGGCCGCCTGAGCCTCAAGCACACGGCCTCATGGTAAAGTCCAACCATGCACTCCACATTTCTCAAAGACTTGCATTTACCATTTACTGCAGTTTGCAAGCTGACCGCTGATTGTGAGGTGCAGCCTGCACTGTGCTGGTATCTGCACTGAGAGCGAGCGGCACGCTGAGCCGGGTGTGAACCCACCTGACCAGTAAGCCTCATTCTGATTGTGAAATACTCGTTATACAGCAGTAATACTTCTTTGCTCTTTGGATTACCTAACTTACTCTGCTATTTTAAAAGAGTTTTGCAATAAAAGTCCACTGAAACTGAAGCGTGATTCCAAATAAGAATTTTACAGGGAAATTACAGACGGACACACAGTCATGTGACACACAGTCATGTGACACACAGTCATGTGACACACAGAGGCCCAGGTTCAGGAGACACACATCATGCTCTTGCCGCCCCCCCCCCCACGCACCTGTGCTGAGGTTGCCTTCCGTCAGCGACTCCAGGATGCTGTTCATGGCCCCCATGTAAAAGATGAGCCGCAGCTGTGTGACACACATGGTGATCAGGCTGAGCATGAAGATGGGGCTGAAGATGCTGCGCAAGAAGGACTGAGCTGGAGGAGACAGAGGGGGAGACAGACAAGCAGAATCAACAGGATGCAGGCACAGCAGAGACCAGCAGGGGGCAATGTGGGCAAAACACTCAACTCATGACCAGAAGGTAACCGATATAAATCCCACTGTCAGCTTCCCATTGGTCTTTGAGCACAGCACTCAGATCCAGTCACTTCACCAGTGTCCAGTTTGCCTACAGATGCTGAGGACACTGCAGCCTGAGCTCAGTAGCTGAAGGCGGTGCTGCGAGTGGGATACAGACGCACGGCCGCCCAGCTCATTAAGGAGCACGGCCACCCCAGGACATCGATGCTTTGTCCCACTCCGAGATGCTTCTGAGGACGGGGTAAACGTCAAAGGAAGGTGCAGAGGAAAACTCTAGCAGGCCATGGGAACACAATCCAGACACGGCCTCCCCCAAAGGTCTCGTCAGTCAGGCCTGGCTAATTGGCTCTCGGATCTTGATTGGCTCCTCGATGCTGGAGAACCCCGATGCTCGGACCCTTCCTGCGAGGCGGTCAGATCCAATTGTACAGTCTGCTTGGTGACATGACAACCTGCTGGGTGTCTGAGGGCCCTGAACTGGGTCGAAGGGCATCAGAAGAGTGGAATGTACTATTAAGAGTGGCGGGGGGAGAAGAGGCAGCTAGATTTATATAATATATATATATATAATCCTCCCTAAACAGCCCACTTTCCTTAGGTTGGCATAAATTTGTATATAATCCTCCCTACACAGCCCACCTTCCTTAGGTTGGCACAGGCCTGGTCCTGCTGCCTTCACTGCAGGGCGGCTCAGGAATGGCTGCCGACTTACATTCCTCCTCTGGCTGGCACTTGACCTCCAGGTCCACTGTGGACAGACACAGCTTGTTGCCATCCTGCGCCGCCAGTTCTTTGGGACTCTGCTTCATGGAGTTGCCCACGCTCAGACGACGGCCCACAGTGGTCACCTGCCGGTAGAACTGCTTTCCAGTGATCTTGTGGTCGAAACCCAGCCAGCTGAACTTGATCTTCACACTGTGGGAGTGGTGAGGGGATTTCAGAATGGAAGGAGTAAAAGGGAGGGAGGTGGGACAGAGGAGAGGCAGGGGGGTGAACATAACAAATTTACAAACGAGAGGAGGCCATTCGGCCCATCAAGCTCGTTTGGGGAGAACTTAACTAATAGCTCAGAGTTGTTAAAATCTTATCTAGCTCTGATTTAAAGGAACCCAGGGTTTTAGCTTCCGCTACACTAGCAGGAAGACTATTCCATACTCTAACTACACGCTGTGCAAAGAAGTGCTTCCTCAAATTTGTTTTAAAATGTTCTCCCACTAATTTCCACTTATGGCCACGAGTTCTAGTATTTAAACTAATATAAGATAAGGCAGGTGACAGTGTTTCCATGCGTGAGACAGCATGTTTACACACACGTGACAGCATGCTTCCATGCGTGTGACAGCATGTTTCCATGCGTGTGACAGTGTTTCCATGCGTTGTACAGCATGTTTACATGCACATGACAGCATGTTTCCATATGTGTGACAGCATTTCCATGTGTGTGATAGCGTGTGTTCATGCATGTGACGACCATGCTTTTCTCACGTGTAGTCCATGTCCTCGGGTCCAGGGAAGGGCTCCAGAGGCCAGTTGAAGAAGCAGTTGATGAAGACGAGGCCAGCACAGCCCGCCCACACCAGCAGGATGGTGATGAAGGTCACTCCCAGGTCATAGATCACCTGAGAGAGACCAGGCAGGTATGTCAGTGAAGAGCTCGTCCACAGGGGTCACCATTAACAGACAGCGCCTTGGAATCCGACCCGACAGCAGCTGATTGGATGACCTAAAACATGTGGGTCACATGACGACCTGCAAACATGGAGAGTGTCTGACAAACGGAGGGGAGACCAGCTGAGAAGACGCAGGTTCTGTACCTACGCAGGCTCAGTACCTTGATTCCTGGGAAGGTGACTGCTGAGGAGGCATAGGAGCCAATCATCAGGGCGATGAAAGTGGAGCGAAGGTCTCCGAACATGTTGGGCAGCTGCAGAGGGAGGCAGGGAGGCGAAGAGCGTGAGAACACACCTAGTGGCGCAATGTCAACCTGCCGCAATAATGAAGGGAAACCCATGTGAAGGCGAGGAAACGGGGAGGCCCCGGCCAAAAATCAGGGGCAGCTTCTGTACAAACACAACAGACAGAGTGAGTATAGAGAAGAAAAAAGAAACAGAAAAGGAAAAAGTATAAATACATAAACAGAAAGCTGACACAAATTCCCTGCAGAGGAGCTGAGGAATTACATATGAAATCCATAGGCTTCACAGCATTTTAGGGTGTGGATACTGAAATGTGGACTCAGTCACTGAGTCATACAAGCACAACAGCCTTGAAGGGCGAAGCCGGGGGCCTCACAGACCGCAAAAGGCAAAGGGGCTTGTGTACAGACAAAGGCCAGAGCCAGAGGGAAGGGCAGGTAAGGCAGCTGGTGCTGCTAAATGAAAGCGGTAAACAGACGGAGGAAGAGCACCGTGCCAAAAGGAAACGCAGTCAGCATGGGGGGGCTGCGAGGACTCTGCTGAATCGGCATATCGGAGTACAGACAGCAGGCTGCAAATGGAAGCGGCGCTTAGCATGGGCTAGAGCTCTGTGTGTCTACAGTGCGGGTCCCCTAGTGGAAAAGCAGCAAACCTGCCTGTCACACTGTCAGCATGCTTATACCTGGAAGTGCTCTGAGCGCAATACCGAGAAATGGCTGCTTTTAGCAACATGAGGAGTCCTGCTCCCCTCATCTCTGCCAGGATGGCCCCCGGTGGCTCCCTCGCCCACTCCGGCTCCCTCGCCCCCTCCGGCTCCCTCGCCCACTGAACCCTCCCTCGCCCACTCCGGCTCCCTAGCCCCTCTGGCTCCCTCGCCCACTCCGGCTCCCTCACCCTGCCGGCTCCTTCGCCCACTCCGGCTCCCTCACCCCGCTGGCTCCCTCGCCCCCTCTGGCTCCCTTCGCCCTGCCGGCTCCCTCGCCCCCTCCGGCTCCCTCACCCCGCCGGCTCCCTCGCCCCCTCCGGCTCCCTCGCCCCCTCCGGCTCCCTCACCCCGCCGGCTCCCTCGCCCCCTCCGGCTCCCTCGTCCCCTCCGGCTCCCTCGCCCTGCCGGCTCCCTCGCCCACTCCGGCTCCCTCGCCCCCTCCGGCTCCCTCGTCCCCTCCGGCTCCCTCGCCCACTCCGGCTCCCTCGTCCCCTCCGGCTCCCTCGCCCCACCGGCTCCCTCCCCACTCCGGCTCTCTCACCCTGCCGGCTCCCTTGCCACACTCATGACAGACATAAGCTCGCTCTCCAGGAGCCGTACCCTGCTGACGCTCACGCCAAGGTCAAGCAGAACATGAAAACACCCAACATGACAGCTGCTACTATAATCACAGGCTCTTTTTATACCACGGGGAAACGAGCCCAATTATGAGAAGGAATCTGTACACGCCGCTACACTGATGTCGTAATTATGTAGAGGCATGAACGTCTAGGAGCCAAAAGACTCGGTTTGACAAACAGGAAACAGAACTGGAAATGGAGCCACGAGGATCGTCTTAACCGTCACCATGAATCATCACTGCTAGTTGGGTCGTAACGAAGATTAATCATCAGGAAACTGAGGGATTAGGTCTTCTCACACTTGGCAGCGTTTATGTTCCTCACATCATGTGATCAGTGCATAAATATCAGCAAGCGACGCATGCAGACCCCTGGGTCCTGAAAGGCAGTAAAGATTGACCACGAACTGCGTGCCTCACTAGTCATGACTGAATTCCACTGAACTGGTGGAGGAGGGGAACTTCTTGCCCCCTGGCGGGAGCTAATGATTGGTCACCTTCGTCCTTCAGTCACACGAGCAGTGGGTCACGTGGGTCATGGGGTCACTGCTGCCTTTCACAGATCAGCGATCTCGACTCCCAGCTGAAGGTCCTGCAAGTTCTTCTGGCCCAGCTTTCTCATTCTCAGACATATGCTTAATCAGTTGTTACGTCACACATATATTTATGGTGTACAGTTACACTGTAGAGTGTTGCATTGCGAAGCGTGTGTCCGATGCATTTGTGTACCGTCTCTGGTTTCAGAAGACACGCGCTTGGCTCATAATCACAACCCTCTAAAAATACACTGGAGGCAGCACCGATCCAGACTGACCCAGTCCGGTCCACACAAGCACGTCTGTGACCACGTGACGGACTGGCCCCCAGGTTCACCTATCCAGCAAGCCCCCTAAACTGGCACCAGTACAGGTCATCACAATCCCTTTGAACACCAAAGGCTGTATACCACCCCCACAGTGAACATCTGCAGAGGGTTCAAAACAGGGGGGAGGCTACTTACGACTGTTTACCACATACAGGAATGTCTGAGTAAGAGGGAAAAAAGCCTGAAATACACAGGTTACACAACAGGCGATAGGGAACACCCCAGAAAGAGGAGCAGCGGTCCAATCCAATAGCAGGAGAGAACGTTGGTACAAGACAAGCATTGGGGGCGGGGGGGGGGGGGTGGGTAACACAAAGGAAGGCAGAGCTCAACAGAAATGGCGTGAAAAAACAAAAATATCATGGCTGATCTATGAAGCTGCAGGTGTGTAATTCGACATTTAAGGAAACAGCCTTTCCATTGAGAAGGAAGGAGAGCAGAATCACAGGCAGCGTCTGTGCCCCCCCTAGAGGGTCGGTAGGAGAGCCCAGGCCAGTCCTGGAGGGGGGACAGCCATGCCAGATCACTCCCGGGGGGCACAGAGTCACACCAGCCTACTCAAGGGGGGAGACATAGTTTTACCAAGCAGCTCAGCCATCAGTGTCACAAAGTGGTGGGGGGGGGGGGGGTCTTGATGTTCTCTGACCTTCATGGTGGAGTAACAAACATACACACACACACACACACACACACACATAAACACACACACACACACACACTCACACAAACACTCACACAAACACTCACACACACACACACCCCCATTTCATTTCATGTTATCAGTCTGGACTCACCATCTCTGCGGGGGAGGGGCACAAAAAATGAAAGATAGGAATAAGACAGATCCAGACGAGCTGGTGATAAAAAATGAAATACAGAGGGAAGGGAAGCAGATCATAGCATGGAGAAGTGAAAGAGGCAGGGGAGGGGGTTGGGGATGGGGGGGGAGGCGTGTGACTCGTCATGGCAGCTGATGAAAACCAGCCCAGACCGGCGAGATCCTGACTGCGCAGAGCCCAGCGGCATAGACAGCCAAGGAGACCCATGCCCAGGTACACCCTGTTCCGGGCTCAGACCCTCACTCCCACATCGGGTGTCAGCACCGAGAGCTCGCTCTTCCCTCCCCGTCAGTCGTATGCTCCTGGCCTTGTGATGGAGACACGCAGCTCCTGGCTGTCGCCGATGAAAACGGGTTAGTGACCGGATCAGCATGTTCTCTCCGATTCCAAACCCTGAACTGAGTGGCTCCTCTGTTAACCGTGCTGTGCTATGGGGACGGAGGGGGACACCGTCTCTGGGAAACACGGGGACATCCCCTGCCTCCTCATTCAAGAAACAAAAAGTGCCAGAACAACTTTGTTTATCAACTTTCACCTGCTTTCAGGCCGTCGGGGTGACATCAGGCCGGTGCGGAGTCCCCACGGGAACAGAATGCACTGAGTTTGCTGACTGCTCATGTCTTAAGCTTCTTTTTTTAACCAGACATATGCCAGAAGCAGAGTTTGGATATTACAGCTCACTGCTGCACCTCTTAGTGCTGTTACTGTTATCATGTTCTTAGCTGAAGCTTAGAAGTGCAATACAGCTCTACACAGCTGCAATACTGCTCTACATAGCTGCAATACCGCCCTACACAGCTGCAATACTGCTCTACATAGCTGCAATACCGCTCTAAACAGCCGCAATACCGCCCAACACAGCTGCAATACCGCTCTACATAGCTGCAATACCGCCCTACACAGCTGCAATACCGCCCTACACAGCTGCAATACCGCCCTACACAGCTGCAATACCACCCTACACAGCTGCGGTACCGCCCTACACAGCTGCAATACCGCCCTACACAGCTGCGGTACCGCTCTACACAGCTGCAATACCGCTCTACACAGCTGAGGTACCACTCTACACAGCTGCAATACCGCCCTACACAGCTGCAATACCGCCCTACACAGCTGCGGTACCGCTCTACACAGCTGCAATACTGCTCTACAGAGCTGCACACATTCTACGCAAAGTCAGCACTGAGGACACAAACAGCAGAGCTGCAGTTCCCCGACCCTGGATCCAAGCCAGAAATGCATGGCTTGGACTGGCACTGCTACCTGAGGCCTAGTACCATCGCCACCCCTGCCCACCTCGGCCACGCCTGCCCACCCCTCCGGTCTCTGTGTAATGACCTACATAAACAGCCACCAGAACATTCTTCACGGTACTTCTACCCATGACAACCACGCCTTCATGAGAGCTCATCTCCTGACAACTGACTCATTCTGCTCCAAGCTCAACATACTTATTTAACAGCATTTTAACATGGACATTTTTTTAACTCCCTTAAAACAGATCACTTCACATTCACCTGCAGGCACCATGTTACTAATGCTACCAATAATTAATCACCCCCCCCTTAAAGGACCAAGTGAGCCACGGCTGCTTTTTCCACTCACATGAGGTCTGTCCGGGAGGCAGAACTCAGAGAGAGAGAGAAACAGGAAGCCCGTGTGTGTGGGGGAGGGTACGGGAGCAGAGCAGCTGCATTAAGGCGCATAGCATGCTGGTGACAAACATGCAGCCGCCTATACATGACACGCTTACATGCACATGCAGCACGAAGGCTGCCGGCAAACTGCACAGAGGATGAGGCTGAGCACAGAGAATGAGGCTGAGCACAGAGGATGAGGCTGAGCACAGAGAATGAGGCTGAGCACAGAGAATGAAGCTGAGCACAGAGAATGAGGCTGAGCATGGCCCAGAACAAAGTGGCCAGAGCACTGCCAGGAGAACAGGACACAGGGAGAACAGGCCAGCCCAGACAGAACAGGGTACAAGGCTGCGAGACCCCTAGGGAATACACACACACACACACACAAACACACAAACATAGACACACAAACATAGACACACACACAAACAGACAGACATAGACACACACACACACCAATACACACACCATGACTAAAGGGAGAATTCAAAGTTGTGAGCCAGCTGTCCTGCCCAGTAAGGTACCGCATTGCTGCTTTTTATTTATCCCAGTGTTAGATTCCCTTAGCAGGGCATTAAGAAGAGGAGACAGCGCCCCCCCCTTTAAAAATCCCCCCCCCCCCCCCCCCCCCCCCCCCCTCTCCCCGGTGCTTTAATTCCTTGCTGTGTTGCTGGCCTGACATAGAATAATGAATGTTTGCAGAACAACACAGAGCTGTAATTCCAAAGGCCTGAAGTGGACTTTGCTGCCTGTCATCCCAGAATGTCTCCATAACTTCCTGGCGGTGTTTAATGTGTGTGTGTGTTGGGGGGGGGGGGATTGGAGGGGATCCTTCAGTGAAAAACACACAGCAGGCGTGGGAAACGCTATCGCTGTGAATATCACCAAAAACACAAACCACTGGCTTTGACTGGCCCCCATTCCAGGACTTACAGAACATCAGGGTCTAGGTCATACCTGCCCCCCCCCTGGGGTGGACAAGGACGGGGGTGGGGGGATCAGAACTTACCGTGAGGGATGTGAAGGTCATACACATGCCGCCAAAACCGTTGAGCGCCAGGGCGATAAAGATCAGCACAGACAGGCCTGAAACAGGGAGGACAGAGACGGTAAGGCAGTGGGGGGGGGGCACGTGCTCTGCCAGCCGAGGCGGGGGCAGTCTAAGTGGGGGCCATACGTACTCTGTGGATTGCTGGAACCGTAGGCGATGAGGATGCAGGAGCAGGCGAAGCTGGCGCTGAGACAGAGAGCAGTGTGGGGGTCAGGCCTGACGGCTTTGTGACCACGCCCCCCCCCCCCC